AAGAAGCGAAGGCAGAGCGAGGCAACTCCGGTTTCTCCCCGGGTAAGAGGGACTTGGGAGACGGAATATCCAAGGAGTCGATAATCATATCATAGTATTGTGAGTTCTGAAATGCAATCAATAATGATGATGATATTAACGGTGACGAAACTGATGAAAACATTGACAATATCAATTTTGGTGACACTACAACTAATAATGAAAATTAAAAGTAACTAAAACCATAATGTTAATGATAAAAAATAATTATAACAATGATGATATGATTAGCTACCATATCAAAACTATGTTTATTATTAAAACAGAAAAGACATTATGATGATGTAGATAGTGATTGTGAGGTTGATAATAGTATTAACATTAAAACAATAGTAATAGTGATAAATGTTAAAATATTAATGATAATAGTGGCAGCAATATTACTGATATTATCAACAATAGTAGTAGTAAGAGGAATACTACTGATGACAATATTTCTCACAAGGAAAATAATAAAAACGAACATAATAATGAAAATAATAAGGATCCTAATAATAATGATGATAAAAAAATAATGTAAACAATGATCAAAAATAAAATTGATGATAAAATACTGAAAAAAATAATGATAGGTGTATGAATGATTATAATGAAAATAGTAAAAATGATAAAGGGGAAAAATAGTGAGAAGAAAAATAAACACAATCATTGTAACATTGACAATGATATATGATAATAACAATTATAATATAAACGACAAACATATGATAGCATAAAACTAATATTTATAAACATAATAGAAAAATTATATAGCGATAATGTTTATTATTATTATTATTATTATTATTATTATATATATATATATATATATATATATATATATATATATATATATATATATATACACACACACACACACACACACACACACACACACACACACACACACACACACACACACACACACACACACACACACACACGCGCGCGCGCGCGCATACACATACACCACACACACACACACACACACACAACACACACACACACACACACACACAACACACACACACACACACACACACACACACACACACATATATATATATATATATATGTGTGTGTGTGTGTGTGTGTGTGTGTGTGTGTGTGTGTGTGTGTGTGTGTGTGTGTGTGTGTGTGTGTGTGCGCGCGCGTGTGTGTGTGTATTCCTTCATATATTTATATATCTATATATACACCGTCATAAACATTTTTATACATATATGCATATATACATATATATATATATACATATAGATACATATATATGTATAAATTTACATTTACATATTTGTACAGTGTTTGTTTGTGTGTGAATATATACGTCTATATATATATATATATATATATATATATATATTATATATATATATATATATATATACATACACACACATATGTATGTATGTATGTATTTGTGGAATATTTATATACACACAAACACATACACACACACTTAGCTGCATAAAAGGGCGTCTCGTCGGAGGCAGAACGAAGAAGCAAGCAGAGAGAGAGAGAGAGAGAGAGAGAGAGAGAGAGAGAGAGAGAGAGAGAGAGAGAGAGAGAGAGAGAGAGAGAGAGAGAGAGAGAGAGAGAGAGAGAGAACACGAACACTATTGATCCTTAATAACCTGTCTACCGTTCATGTGATGACAGAATAACAACAGAAAATCTCCTTTATATAATTATTTTAATCACATTATAAAAGAAAACAAAAAACAATAATAAGTATGTGAACGAAGCTGGGAAGTTGGTTTTAACCTCCCAATATTTTCCAAGGCAGACAAATCACCTTGATATTTCCTATCTGAGGAGCGTCTAACGTCTCCAGGGTGGAAAAATGATAGCAAATTTTATTTTTCGGAGGATTATAGGAATAAAACCTTTCCGATATGCCTTGAATGACAGAAGAATTGACAAATTACTCGTGTACATCGCGCCCTAAAAGAGAATCGGTAGCTGGCGACCGTGCCATACGGTGTTGCCAGACGGTGAGCATTCGTACGCAGAGGATGTCTACTCCCCGGGTTTTCTTTGCTTATTTACTCTTTTTCTTGTCTTCTTTCTCTTCTAGAGAGCTATTCGTCCTTTCAAAATGTCTCTCCGGTGATGACATGTTTTGATAAGGAACCACGTTCACAAAATCAGATATTTAAGGGAGGTTGTAAAACGTTTCCTTTCTATTCCTCTCAAAACGAAAGGATTTTTCCGATATCGAACAGCTGCGAAGAGAAAACAAAAGGAAAAAAGGAAAGAACACAAAAGAAAAAAGAGAAGAAATTAAGTAGACCAAAACATTTATCAAAAACATAACGGTAGATTCATTTCCTCCAAAAATTGGAGAAGAAACTGAACGAAACATTCTGGAACCGTCTCCCCCCCTTCTATTCCTTCTCCTTCCTGCTCTTCCCCTTTTCCTCTTCTTCTCTCCCCTTTCCACCCAATCTCCTCCCTTCCTTCTCCCCGCCTCCTAGCCCTTCTC